TGTTCTGGTCCTGGGGCTTGAAAGCAAGGCCTGGGTGCTGTCCCTGGGCTTTTTTGCTCAAGGCTAGCACTCTACCACTTTAGCCAAAGCTCCACTTCTGGTTTTTTTGGTAGTTAATTAGAGATAAGGGTCTCATGGACTTTTTTGCCTGGAATGGCTTCAAACTGATCCTCAGATCTTAGCTTCCTGAGTAGCTGGGATTACAGGCATGAGCCACCAGTGGTCAGCTCTGGTGGTATCTCTTACTGAATATGACAGTACTCATGTCTACATTACCCATAGGGTAAAAACAGGAAAGATGATGCTGTCATTTTAATAGTCCTTTTATTTTGGTCAACCTGCTACTATTCAGAATCCTCAAATATTTTTTTCAGTGTATTAGGTCCAAATTTTATGGTGGACTAAATATGTGTAGCATGTCCATCCTATAGTGTATTGTCCTTGGGTTCCTTGCTTAAAATGTTTTCTTTTTAAGCCTAGCTTCCAGGAATGCCCCCTCTATCTTCATTGCTTAATATTCAGCTGAAGTTTGGTCTAACATTGAATTCTCTCTGCTAGTTTTGAATTCTTTCTGCTAGTTTTGTTTGGGTTCTGATGCTCACACAAAACTATACTTCAGAAAATAAGATGGAGGATGGATAGCTTTATAGTACATTGCAAACATATGTGATAACAGCATAAAGAACCTCAGTAAAAGCTGTTGGTCAAAAAGGGGACGGTAGGGCTGGGAATGTGGCTTAGTGGTAGAATGCTTGCTTGGCACTCATGAAGCCCCAGGTTCATTTCCTCAGTGCCACACAAACAGAAAAAGCTGAAAGTGGCACTGTGACTCAAGTGGTACAGTGCTAGCCTTTAGCAAAAGAAGCTCAGGGACAGTGCCCAGACCACAAGTGAAAATCCCAGACTGGCAAAAAAGGGGGAGGCGATTTTGGACAGGGATAGAGAAATAGACTTTGTTGGGGGTACTATTAGGAAGGGACTGGGATAACAAGAATGAAGAAAATTGAATCCTGTGTAAATAGATTATTTGCAACAATGATAATAGAACAATCAAACCTGCTAAAATTTACATGGGAAAGCAGGAGATGAGGAAGGTAATAGAGGTAAGATTGATTAGAATATATTGTAAGGGGGAGGGAAGATGGGAGGACAAGGATGGTAAGGGGAAACAGAGGAAGAGGCAACAATGCTTGATAAGAAATGTACTCATTACCTTGCTCATGTAATTGTATCCCCTCTGTATGGTACTTTCACAATTAAAAAAAAAGAATATATTGTAAACGTGTGGGAAGGTAATAATGAAATCCCCCCCCACCTGTAAAACTAATGTAAGATAATTTAAAAAATAAAAATAAAAGCTATGCAGGTCACAGTGGTTTACGCTCTGATCCTAGCTACTCTGGAGGCCAAGATTGGAGGATCATGGTTCAGAATATTCCTAAGATACTCTAGACGCATAAAACTGCAGGCACTAACATAAATTTATTTCTAGCTCTCTTCTTAATCCCACCTGATGCTATTATCCCAGGCTAAGAATCCAATCTGTAAAAGCATCAGCTCTGAAGTCGTCCTCAACTTTGCTGTGCAATTTGTTCCTTCATTGAAGTTGCCAGAGAGGTAGATGTATACAGATGGATAACAAGAAAAATTGATACTTTTATTATAAAATAATAATAATAAATGTGTGTGTGTGTGTACATGCACCAATACTGGGGCCTGAACTGTGGGGATACAGGATACAGGCACACATGCACACATCAATCCTGGAGCTTGAACTCAGGGCCTAGGCACAGTGTGGGCTTTTTTGCTCAAGGCTAGCTCTCTATCACTTGAGCCACAGCTCCATTTTAGAAACCATTATTATTAGAAACCATCCATATATATGAATGTTCCAGTTCATTCATTATACTTGTTAATCAATTTTCACTAATATGTTTGCATTTAATATTTAATCTTTTTAAATCTAAGTTTTCAGTAGTTAAGGGTTCATAGATAGAAATGCCATCATTGAACTTACTGTGATCCTCCTTATTTAGCAATTTCCTCATCCATTTCCCAGATTATTATATAGGCTTGCCAAAGTACAATGGAAATCTTGTCAATACTAAGTTACCAATAACAGTCAGGATGCCTAGACTCTAGTTCCCATATCTAACCCTGTGTGTTTACTTTCTCATTCTTAGTCTCACTGTCTATAAAATAACGTGTTCATTGTTGGGTATGTCTGTATAAAACCCTTGTTATAAGTTTCAAAGATGACACACAGTACTTTGACTATTGTTGATATAAAGGCTTCTTGTATTTTGTATTTTCTATATTTTCTCATGATTACAAAAAGAAGACCACATAATTATATGCTTATTTAATTAAATCCTTGGAAATGTTAGTGATTAATGTTCACAAATGTACTTCCTAAAATTAATTTTTGACCACTCTTTAAGTTCTTGGCTTACAAAAATGGTTTTGGACAAGCTGGCGCTGGTGGCTCACGCCTGTAATCCTAGCTACTCAGGAGGCTGAGATCTGAGGATCGCGGTTCAAAGCCAGCCCGGGCAGAAGAGACCGTGAAACTCCTATCTCCAATAAACCACCAGAAAATCGGAAGTGGCGCTGTAGCTCAAGTGGTAGAGCGCTCGCTTTGAGCTGAAGAGCTGAGGGACAGTGCCCAGGCCCAGAGTTCAAGCCCCACGACCGACAAAAAAAAAAAAAAAAAATGGTTTTGGGCTGGGAATGTGGCTTAGTAATAGAGTGCTCGCCTAGTTTGCATGAAGCCCTGGGTTTAACTCCTCAGTACCATATAAACAGAAAAGGCCAGAACTGGTGCTATGGCTGAAGTGGTAGAGTGCTAGCTTTGAGCAAAAGCAGCTCAAATACTGTCCCTAGACCCTGAGTTGAAGCCCCAGTACTGGAACACAAAAAGATTTTGTAAGCACAAATAATAGTACTAAGTTATAAAGACTAGTGTAATGTTCAAATTAGGATAATTTTTTAAAATTTATTTTTATTTATTTATTTTTTTGGGTCTGGTCATGGGGCCTGAACTCTGGGCTTGGGCGCTGTCCCTTGGCTCTTCAGCTCAAGGCTAGGGCTCTACCACTTGAGCCACAGCGCCACTTCTGGCTTTTTTCTCATGCATGCAAGGCAAGCGCTCTACCACTGAGCCACCTTCCCAGCCCCCAAATTAGGATAATTTATACTGACTGAGTCATCAGTAAAACTGATTTCATTTGTTTGAATATCTTATGCTTTAGGATATCCTATACCGAGGCTTATTAAACCATCTGTGTTGTCTTTTCCACTATTCCAGATAAACATTCTTTTTATTCATCTTTAATTTGGACATTTTGGGGTAGTTTTATTTTGTTAGTGGTACTGGAGTTTAAACTCAAGCATCTTATATTTGGTGAGCAGTCACTTTACCACTTGAGCCATTCCAGTAGCCCAATTTTGGGGAGCTTTTTGAGGCAGGCTTGCTATGTACCCTTTTTATCCTCTTGCCTCAGCCTCCGAAATGCTGTGATTGAAGTCTTTTATTTCTTTGCCCATGTCTTTCTAAATTTTAACCATATATCAGAAATATGAGTACAATTTGAAAGGTGATTAAAGTTTTTAGAAACTTGTTGAAAATCACTAGCATTTCATTGCTATCCTGATGGAAATTGCTTGCAATATCTTGAACCATGTCAATTTACTTTTTCTGGACCTGGTTTCCCCACTACGAAGTAAGTAGCTTTGATTGCAATTCTCAGATTCTTTTTTTTCTTTTTTTGGGGGGGGGGTCCGGTCCTGGGGCTGAACTCTGGGCCTGGGCTCTGTCCCTCAGCCCTTCAGCTCAAGGCTAGCTCTCTACCACTTGAGCCACAGCGCCACTTCCGGCTTTTTTCTTTTTGCTTATGTGGTGCTGAGGAATCGAACCCAGGGCCTCTGGCATGCAAGGCAAGCGCTCTACCAGTGAGCCAACTTCCCAGCCCCCTCAGATTCTTTTCTTTTTTGGTTTTCTTTTTTTGTATTTTGTTTTAGAAATACTGAGGCTTGAACCCAGAACCTCACAGTTGGTAGGCAAGTGCTTTACCACTTAAGGTAATACCCCCAGCCAAGTTCTTTCCATTTTTAACATTCTGTGATTCTTTTTCTCTCTCCTTTTGTGGTGCTAGTGATCAAACCCCTACCCTTGTGCTAGGCAAATACTGTATTACTGAGGTACATCCCTAGCCTTATGATTCTGTAAAAAAAAATTAAGTATTTACCTGAAGAAGCTTATGAAAAGACTAAAGTTTATATTAATTTTTCATGATTCGGCACACTTGAATTACCCCTAAGATAATTTGTTAAAATATGAATCAGATGTTTCTTGCTTGATGTCCAAGAAACTTTGGGGACTGAAAGGGGAATAGTTAGTAATTAATCCAAGACAATAGCTTTATTTTGTGTGTGTGCTGGTAATGAGTCTCGAATTCAGGGCCTCACACTCTTACTCAGTTTTTTTGCTCAAGACTAGCATTCTACCATTTGAGCCACAGCACCACTTTTAGCTTTTTGGTAGTTCATTAGAGATAAGTACCTCATAGACTTTCCTGCCCTGGATGGCTTCAAACCACAATCCTGAGTAGCTAGGAATACAGGTGTGAACCACTGTCAACTGGCTCAACAGTAGCTTTATTGTTTTTGTTTTTTTTTTTTTGGCGGGAGGGGGGGGAATACGGTCGTGGGGCCTGAGCTCTGGGCTTGGGTGCTGTCCCTCAGCTCTTCAGCTCAAGGCTAGCGCTGTACAACTTGAGCCACAGCACCACTTCCAGCTTTTTTTTTTTTTTGCTTATTGGTGCTGAGGAATTGAACACAGGGCCTCAGGCATGCAAGGCAAGCGCTCTACCACTGAGCCACCTTCCCAGCCCCTCAACAGTAACTTTAAATTGGGACTATTAGTTGCATGGTTCTAACAAGAGTTATCTAATAGTTATAATTCTTTTTTCACAGTTTCCGTGTTTATTAATTTTTTTCAGATTTACTTGGTACGGAGGGTAGTACAGCTTCATGCCAGCAATCTCCAGCCAGTAAAAAAGGAATGTTCACAGATGACTTACATAAACTGGTGGATGACTGGACAAAGGAAACAGTAGGAAATTTTCCTATCAAGCCAAGTTTAAACCAGCTTAAGCAGAGTCAACAAAAACTAGAAACAGAAAACTGGAACAAGGGATATGAAGTAAGTTGTTTATCCCCAAACCTCTTGATAAAAACTAAAGCCATAAAAGTTTATTTTTTTAGGCCAATGGTCATGAGAATGTGATGTAACTTGATAGCATCAAGATTTTGATGTTGGTTTAGATTTATGAAGCCCTTGAGCAAATTATCTTTTAGACCAAGTCAATGAACTTTCAGGTAGTTGCCAGTTAATAAATATTTTTAGACATTCTAAGCCACATGGTAAGAACTTATCATCTTGTTTGTAGTTTCAAAGCAACCTTAGACAATATAGAATTGAATAGGGTAGATTTGAGCCATTTAAAAATAATTTGTGGAAAGATATGGCAAGCCATATTTTCTGGCTCTTGTCTTTAACTATTGTATCTTAAAAACAAACAAATATGGAAAAAGAAAGCCTATGGAATGAGGATTAATGTGATCACATGAGAAGAGTTTGAGTTTTGAGGAAAAGCTATCCTGTGCTACATATCAGTATTTTTTATGCTAGTCTTAGGGCTTAAACTGAGTTTTTGTGCTAAAGGGTAGTATTCTACCACTTGAGCCACAGCTCCATTTCCAGATTTTTGGAGGTTAATTGGAGTTAGGAGTCTTACAGATTTTCCTACCTGGGCTGGCTTTGAACTGTGATCATCAGATTTCAGCCTTCTTGAGTAGCTAGGATTACAGACATGAGCCACCAGCACCCAGCTCAGATCAGTATTCTTTGTTTTTTTTTTTTGTTTTTTTGTTTTTTTTGTTTTTTGGGTCCGGTCGTGGGGCCTGAACTCTGGGCCTGGGTGCTGTCCCTCAGCTCTTCAGCTCAAGGCTAGCATTCTACCACTTGAGCCACAGCGCCATTTCCGGCTTTTTTCTTTTTGCTTATGTGGTGCTGAGGAATCGAACCCAGGGCCTCAGGCATGCAAGGCAAGTGCTCTACCACTGAGCCACCTTCCCAGCCCCTCAAATCAGTATTCTTAAAGCCAATAAATTATCTTAACTATCTTTGTTTAGTATCAAAAAAATGTCATAAGACAAGTATTATAAGATGTTTTGAGTTTCTTAGGGAGATGCCCAATTATTATTTATACAGCAGCATCTAGAATAATATAATTCTGGGTTTTTCTGAGTAGTTTATTGGAGATAAGAGTCTCATGGACTTTCCTGCCTGAGCTGGCTTCAAACCACAATCCTCAGATCTCAGTCTCCTGAGTAGCTAGGATTATAGTCATGAGCCACCAGTAACTGGCTTACCTTATATAATTTGTGCTCATGTTTTAAAATTCGAAATAAGTAAGCCTGTTCAAATGTGAGTCAGATCTTAGAACCTGAACTGTCATAATCAGAAGAGATATATCTAAGTGTATCTGTATTATGTCATGAAGTCTTTGAGCAAATTATCCTATAGACCAAGAGTAAGCACACTTTCAGGAAAAGGCCAATTAGTAAACACTTTCAACTTTTTTTTTTTTTTTTTTGGGTCCGGTCGTGGGGCCTGAACTCTGGGCCTGGGCGCTGTCACTCAGCTCTTCAGCTCAAGGCTAGGGCTCTACCACTTGAGCCACAGCGTCACTTCCGGCTTTTTTTCTTTTTGCTTATGTGGTGCTGAGGAATCGAACCCAGGGCCTCAGGCATGCAAGGCAAGCACTCTACCACTGAGCCACCTTCCCAGCCATACTTTCAACTTTCTAAGACAAGTAATTTAGACTTCTCAACTTGTGTCTATGTGTCTATCTTCTGTTTGAATGTGTGTATAGTTTTTAAGTAAGGAAAGTGTGAAAATACACTTATGGGGCTGAGAATATAGGTCAGTTTTAGAACACTTATCTGGTATAGTGCAAGAGTTCCATTCTTAGCACTGAAGAAAAAACTATGCTTTAAGCTGGTCTTGTTGGCATACAAAGGTAGTCCTAGCACTTAGGAGGCTGAGGCAGTATCCTGAATTTGAGGTTACATAATGGGGCATCACTGTAAGACTTTGTCTCAAACAGTATGTTTATTAGCTAGTTGCCAGTGGCTTCCTTCTATAATCCTAGTTACTCAGGAGACTGAGATCTGGAGATCACAGTTCAAAGCCAGCCCAGGCAGGAAAGTCCATGAGACTCTTACCTTCAAGTAACCACCAAAAAGCCAGAAGTGGATCTGCAGCTCAAGTGATAGAATACTAGCCTTGAGGAATAGCACTCAGGAACAGTACCCAAGCCCTGAGTTTAAGCCCCACACCTAGCACAAAAAATATTTTTAAGGTGGGAGCCGATGGCTCACACCTGTAATCCTAGTTACTCAGGAGGCTGAGATCTGAGGATCATGGTTCAAAGCCAGCCTGGGCAGGAAAGTCAATGAGACTCTTATCTCCAATAAACCACGAGAAAACCAGAAGTGGTGCTGTAGCTCAAGTGGTAGAGTGCTCGCCTTGAGCTGAAGAGCTGAGGGACAGCGCCCATGCCCAGAGTTCAAGCCCCACGACCAACAAAAAAAAAAATGAATACTGAATAACAATATTTAAGTCATAGATTTCTCAAAATAGTAAATAATGTATCCTCTTGGGGGCTTTGAATTCTTTTCTTCCTGGCACCAATTAATACCTAAATAGTATCCCCATTGTAAGATTCTGGACATTTTGAGGCAAATTTCAAGACAGAAGTGTATTTTATTCTGCTATGAGGAGATCCTCTAACATACTATGCAGGTGGAGGTTTTGTTGACTATTGGTTGCAGTATCAAAGGAGTATGTTTGGAGGAAGGGTGAGGAAAAAATAGTGTGTGAATAAAACCGCCAAAGGTTTTTTTGACAGACTTGGGTTCCATTGTCAGGTAGTCATTTACTTATCATGTGACTTACTATACTTTTCCTTCGTTTTCATGTCTTTTAAGCAATCATAATGCCTGCCTAGCAGAATTACTGAAGATTAAATAAATTAATACTTACAAAGCTGTATCATTACAGGTGTCACATTGTAAGTGCCTATATATGGCAACTATTTTTGTAATGTGACATTTATTCAATGATATCTTAGTATAGAGAGCTAACTTTACCAATGTCCTCGCATGTTACTATTGAAATGTATACGCTGCAAGGCAGAACAGTTAGGAGTATGAACTAACATAAGATATGTAATTATCTTGAACACACAGATTGGTGTTCCCCACATGATAGCCACGTGGGAGTAGTAAACCAAAAAGTGAGCCAGAGGAAAAAAAAAAAAAAAGTGAGCCAGAGGCCAGTGACTCACACCTGTAATTCTCGCTACTCAAGAGGCTTAGATCTGAGGATCACACTTCAAAGGAAGCCTGGCAGGAACATCTATGATACTCTTAACTCCAATTAACCACCAAAAGTGGTGGAAGTGGAAGTTGTGATTCAAATGGTAGAGTACTAGCCTTAAGCATAAAAGTTCAGGGACAGCATCCAGGCCCTGAGTTCAAGGCCCAGGACCAACATGCATGCGTGTGTGTGTGTGTGTGTGTGTGTGTGTGTGTGTGTGTGTGTGTGTGTGTGTGTGTGTGTGTGTGTGTGTGTAAAAGCATCTGACATATAGAAATGGATTTAGATTGCTAAATGCATATACAAAATAAACTGATCTTTTGTTTCTATGTTTCTTTTGTTAGAATACTCCATCTACTATGGGCTACACATCAACATGGATTTCTTCTCTTTCCCAAATACGTGGAACAGTCCCAACTTCTTTGCCACAAGGACTTCCACTCCCCTCCTTTCCTGGGCCATTATCATCTTACGGAGTGTCCCATGTTTGTCAGTATAATACTGTAGGAGGCACAGGGTATCCCTTACAGTGGGTTGGAATCCCAGGAACAACACAGCAGTCTGTAGTGATTCCTTCCCAATCTGCAGGACCATTCCAGCCAGGGATGAATTTGCAGGCATTTCCAGCTCCACCAGCACAGAATCCATCTACGATCCCTTCTACAATCCCTCCTGGTCCTAAATGAACCAGAATAGAGCTGATGAAGAAAAGGGAGATTTTATTTTCCAGAATTATTTTCAGGATACCTAAGATATTAAAAGTTTTCTTCTTCTTGGGTTTTGCCATATTTTCCTTCATTTCAGTTTACTTTCAAATGTAAGTGTTTTATTGTTCCAGTGTGATATTTGATAAGGCTTATCATTCTGTAGAAATGTGCAGTTTGCACATAGAACACTGCACAGAGAAATGTTTTTTCACTTCAAATCCTATCCTCTTTGATACTTGATTTTTTTAAAATACTCTTCAGAATGCTTTAATAAGCTCAGCTTGAGCATTACCATTTCCAGGATACTTTCCATTGCATTGCTGAGAAGTCCTCTTTTTTTAAAAAAAAATTGTTTTTGCTACAGCTGTTATCTGCAGCTGTATGATACTTTTCTTTCAAATGTACAAAGATGATTTCAATTTACTCTCCCCAAATGTGGACAAAGTGAGATCCTCCAATAGCTGGAGTCTTGTGGGGTTCTTCACATTTATCTTACAAGTTTACCTTTCACAGGAGGCAGGGTAACACTGCAGGAAATGTTTTGTCAACCAATACAGAACATGAGCCCTTTTTAATGTGATTTTTCTTCCCGTCGTCACAGCAGTAGGAGTGAAGCCTTGTTTTGAGTGAGGCGGAGGGAAAGGAAAAATGAGAACTGTAACAGTTCCTTGATTCTACAGATACTATAGCTGCTTTTGGATTTCAGTAATAATTCAAAGCAGCTCTCTGCTTCTTGTGTGCACACTACATTGCTTTTGAGCACTCAAGAGGCATCAGTTTGGCTTGCATTCTTTTGCAAAGGATATTTTGCAGCCAATAAGAATCTCATTTGGGGGAAAATCTTTATATTCCTAACAAAGGGGATTGAAGTTAACACCTTTATTGATCTATTATTCTGAAGGGAAATGAACTTAACACAGTAGGTTTTTTTTGTAGGTTTTGAGACTTACACATGAAACACTGGCTTTACAGGGTCCTAAGAGATGTGGGGTATACACTGTCCTGCAGAGAAAGAGAGAGTAGACCCTAGAAGGATACTATTTAAGTTGCCCTTAGCATTTTGGATTACCATTTTATGGTTGTTATAATTTCTTATTAGTAATCTAGAGCATCGTAGCTGATTTTTAGATCTTAGATGAGTTTGGCAGCCTCTTTAGACTATGAGAGAGATCACTGTCAAGTTGCACTTTACTGGGTTTTATCCAGTTTTAGGAGGAAGGGAGGCAATGTCACCTTTGGTTTTTAAGAAAGTTAACTATAATAAAATTAAATATAATAAAGACTGGTCACAGGGTTTCCTAGTGCTCAGTCTGTGAAATCCAAGTAGAATTTTTTTAAGGGGATCTAACTACTAAGTCTACATGTTCAAACTACTTAGCTTCCACTGAAGATTTCAAAGTCATTTCTGGTCCACATTTACCCAATTAGGAGTTTTATCTATTGGTGAGCATTCCAAATTGTCACTCACCATTTCTGTTAATGAAATGGATTTTTCTTCCATATTCCTCTAAAAAAATTGTACCTCCTTGGTCTTGCCAGGTAATAAGGAAAACTTAATATGTATACTCCTTCTTTTTGGGTTTTTATGCAATATACTTTATAGCATTCAGTTTACTCTTTAAAGTATGTCTTTTATTGCTTACCTAAAGATCACACCCACCGTTGCAGTTCTCTCACGGTTGGGAGCATCAAGGGTAGCATTTTGAGTATCGCTGTTGCTAAGAGCCACAGTTGTTTTGGGGTTTATTTGTTGTTGTTCTTTTTTTTTTTTAATAAACTATCATCAGTTTCAGAGGAGTCTTTCCAAACCTTATGTAGAGATTCCTCCCATTTCTCTGGTATTGCTTTATTTGCAAGTTGAAGTGATTTTAGGACATTCATGCAAATTCTTGCACTGCAGTGTTTCCTGTGTGTCCAAAAACAATCCTCCTGAAATCCATAACTTTCAAAGAAAAAAATCTGTTCATATTTTCGTAGATGAGTTGATTTTGCATAATTAAATTGAGATATATAACATAAAGTGAACTTCTTCCTTAATGGCCGTCTTTTTAAATACCCCAGGGTATAAAACAAAAAGCTCCATGGGTAATATGTACAGTTCCACTTAGTAATGGCTGCTCTGTATCCTATGGCCTGCATTTTATCACCCACCTCAGTTTTACATAGAATTCATCATTCTTATTTGCCTGCAGACTTTTTGCAGTGCCTTGTAATATTTAGAATCTTTTCAGATTTTTGCTGGAAAGAAAAGTAGTCTTCTAAAGTTTGAAGATGGTGAATAGTGTACTGCTGTCTCCATGCTGACAGCAGTAGCTGGGTTAGCATATATGTTATATATACTTTGTGTATATGTAACATGTGTAAGTTTAAGAATACAGAAAAAAGTGAGTTTTTGCAGAGATGAAGAAAAATAATGTTATTCACATTGCTGTGGGGTTTATTTCCTTTTCCCCATTACTTAAATGTTTGATTTCAATTATAGTCATTTTGACTGTAAATATTGGCTAGTTTTCTATCTAGGATTTTGCATTCTTTCATATTTTTTTCTGAGTCATAAATTGTGCTGGTTTCATCCTTGCCTGAGGTACTTCTCCTCCCCAGAAACAACTAATGCTTGAATAACTAAAGCTCAGAAATTCCCTTCTTACTTAACAACGAGCCTACTATATAAAATAGGCCTTCTTGTTCATTTGAAAAAAAAACACACACACAAACCCATCCTCTTCATTTTCTTGTAGAAGAGAAAAAGGTCGTGCGTAACCATTGTGCTTGTAATGTTTATTTGGGGAATAGTTTGTATGTCCAGCCACCATGTTTACTTCTTAAAGTACAAGTCTGATGAAGAGTACTGTATCTCCATCTGTGGCAACGTGAGCATCTCATCATGAAGTATCTGCTGCTATGTCTGTGAAGTTGGGTGTAACATCATAAGAATATGAAACAAGTATTGATGTAAATCTAATGAAAATAACCCTCTATGTGTATTTGTAGCAGTCTTGAAAATTCTATTTAAGGTAATTTGCTGTAATATAACAAATACTCATTTTGTTTTTCATCCCTCCCTTGCTTCTATCAAGCATGATTACTAATGGTTTGACAGCAAAATTATCTGTGAAAGTTTAAAAGGCACTTTTCCGCTGGGATTTTTGGATTGAGTGGAGTATGATCTATAGTATGGTGGGATGTTATCATCTTAGAACCCCAGGTTTACTTCCAGTCTAGTTACTTTTGTTTATCTACCTCGTTTTCAGTGCTGTTTTTGATGCACAAGTAAACACTACCTGTGAAACTTACTTTTGTTCCCCTTGATTCTCAGTATTTTTTTTTTTAGATTATAAATCTGGCTTGCCTTTTTGTTCTAGCACTCATCATGAGTTTGCAATGAGAGGTATCATCACTCTGTGGGCAATCTGTGTTTAAGTGATGAGAGCCATGTGCCTATGCAAAATAAGCTTAAGAGGATTTGGGGATGGAGAGCAGAGAAATAAATCTGACTGGTGGCAGTATAGGACTTTATTATAAGTGTTAGTTATAAAATAAGCAAACTGTCACAAATGTACTTAAATTAGTTCCAGTGCCTGTAACATTGCATTTATTTTTACAAGAGATGCATTTCTCATCTCTGTGCCTAAAGGGCTATGGGTTGAAATTACTTTTAACTATCACAATGGAATATTTGACCAGTCCTCCAGCAGTGACCTGTCCTTTAAAGTATTAGCATACTGCTAAGTATTTGCAGTGATATTTTGTTATCTTAAAATGGCCCACTGCATTTTAAGTTGAATTGCTTGTAGTTTGTGATAAGGGGTTTATATAACTGTTATCCTGTCTGTACAGTTTCTGGAGGCATTGGCTTGCTTCTGTGCTGTATTTTCTGAGAGATAAAAATGACGCATTCCTCTTTCAACCCAAATCTTAGCAAATGTTTGTAACCAGACATTCCTGGTTTCACATGTTTACTGTGTAACACTACAGCATAGTTTATATTGGTAAGTACTGTATTTCAGTCACCCTGCATAAATACATTCCTGAGGTATATTTGCCATCACTTTGGGATTCAGTTACTTCATCTTCTGTTTGGTTCAGATAAACTGAAGCCATTTGAGGTGATTTGAGGTGCAGACCATTTTCTAGAATCAATTGTTTTTTGAATCTTTATCAAGGATTTGTTTTCTCCCCTTTGTTTAGAAGATGAACTAGAAAATGGTGTGTGTGTGTATGTTTGTGTGTGTGTGTGTGTGTGTGTGTGTGTAGAAAAGGCCTTAGATTTAGTAAATGGAATTTTTAGGATTAAAATTTAAAAAAAAAAAGCCTAATCCAGGTTATGAAACGGAAACAATCAAATGGGAAAATATAATCAAAATACAATTAGTATGAAATTTGAATAGAGCCAGATGCTTTCAGGTCATCCCAGAAATAGTCTTTTTGTGAAGGATGAATATAAATACTGGTTGGGGATTTTGACCCCAACATATGAAGGAAAGTGAAGTAGTAACTACGTTACCCTAAAGTTATTTTCAACTGGGACAGTGGAATTGTGTACCAATTAATTCTGGAAGATTTTCTTTTCTTTAAAAAAAGGCTAAAAGTCAAGCAAGAAGGGAAGAGAGAAATTCAGCTCTGAGAAAAAAATGTGCAGTGTCAACTAAACTCTTAAATGTGTTTGTCATCCTTTAGTTTTATTTGAAGTTGCATTTTGATTTGCACTGTCATTTAAGGTTTGAGATTGAGATTTGTGGTCCTCAGCAGATAAAGTGACTAATCGGAAAGTGCAGTTGTTCAAGGTCTGTCATGCTCAATCACTTAAAGCTGTAATTTGTTTGATATGAATATTAAGCATGTAGACCTCGTGCAGCATGGGAGCCACTCAGGAAGTTTATGCAATTAATAAACTTTCATGCATAATTTACTATGAAGTATGCAGAATTTCAGCCACTTCTCTACACTTAACATTTAGTTGTATATGTGAACTCTCCTTTCTTAATTGGGGAATGTAGCATTATAGAGAATGTTGTTAAACTTAAGTTTAATTCTTTCTGACATTAATGTTTTCTTTTTTTAATTTTAATTTTAATTTTGGGGAAACCAAGTGATCTGCCTTTCACCAGTTGTCTCATTTTGATTCTTTGAAACTGTGATTTTTATTTCACTTGTACCCAACTGTTGTTAAGTATTTTGTTTCCTGGAAATTTTGTTTTGAAGCAGACAATAAAGTTTGTGTTAAATGAGTATGTTATCTTATTAAATTGATGTCACAGTCACTGCAATAATCGGCCTT